TAGTTTTGGGGTTTTGCGAAATAGGTGTTTTGTTCATAGTCACACCACTCTCGTCTAAACGGTTGTCTTCCTGTTCTGGTGTAGTTATTCCGGTGAGTCCACACCAAAGGGGAGCACTGGACCCACTACTCCACCAACACACATTGGGCGCATCTGAATTATCACATCTGAACAGGCGAACGTGTTCACACTTGCGCGATGTGATTGGTGTGCCCGACTGATCGAACGACGACCCAGTAACTGTCCTGGTTGTGACGATCGATTGACCCACCAGTCAGGACTTCCCAGTCAGGTAGCGTGACACGCTTGAAACCTACTGGGCAACTTTTGGTTATAGTTTTGCGGTTTTGCAGGATATCTATTTTGTTCACAGTCTGAAAGCAGTTTTTGATATGGCACCACTTAGAAGAACGTCGGTTAAGACTCCTAAAGGTTGTTCCAACTGAAAGACAACGTGACCTTTGTGTAGCAGACCGAGATGAAGACAGTTATAAACTAGAGATTCGTGTGAAATGAAACTGCAAGTGCGGATTTGGCCTCAAACACGGATAATGTGATATTCGAGTACGAAATTAACTCGGTAAGAATGTGGAATCTAGGTCTACGAAGGCGAAACTACTCATGGTTCTCCTGTCATGTGAAGAAAATTGGGAGCTACAATTTTCTGGTCATTTCCAGTTCACACACAGCTTCCAAACTTCTCTGATAATGTACAACCAGATACCTTGGATCACCAGCGAGATTCAGGTTGAACCTAACGTCAACAGGCACTCAGCTTAATGCACACCCACCCTTCATGACGCATCTAAATACAAAAAAGGATTACCTTGGTGTTTGAAACTAAAACTGGAGATCACACGTTTGAAGTCAGCAACTTCACGCAAAACCGCGAAGTTTGATCCAAAAGTGTCAATCGGGTTGTCCAGAATGAACCTACCAGGCTAACAAAGACGTGTGTGCTTGGGTCCACCCAAGACGGAAAAGATGGTAGTTGAGCACAAAGAAAACGTGGTGGCATCAGCCAGGTGAGCAAGTTGAGAATCCTAGTGATAAGGACTAAAAACAAACTGATTGGGCCGGTTTGAAACAAAGGCCTGAAAACAAACTTTGATGATTGCTGTCATTTTTACATGAATTCCGTTTTGACAGCAGACTCAATTGATTACGGCGGAATCACTCGTTTCTGATCGTCCAAGTGTGCTGCGCCAAGTCTTTCACTTGATACGATACTCGAGATTTCACAACATGTTGTTGTCTAGATGTAACAAACAGCCCACTACCAGTTTCTCCCTTCTTGGGGCTCATCAGTTAGTTTCTCCCTTCTTGCGGCTCATCAGGTAGGCGCAGTCCCCGAGTTTCCGTTCTCCTTGAAATCAGTTGGACATACCAATTTGGGCATACCAATTTGGTATTCACGGGAGACTCAGCGGTATCCCAACTGAATATCTTGTCTTTGATGTTGCTGGAAACTCAGCAAGTGTGCCTACCTGAATAAGACAGCCGAATGAGTTCGTGGACTGTTGAAGTGCTTACAGCAGCCCTGAGATTAGTATATTACATCCGGACGAAAATTTGATGAAGTTTTCTGAAGGGGGAAAGCCATCGGCTGCGAAGTCATTCATTAGTGAACATCAGCTAAGCAGTCACAAGTCAGCAGACATCTCAAATGCACAGAGTCTTTAAAAATTGAACATTCTCACGCGTCCCTTTGAATTTTCCCGGCCATTTATTGGCTACTACACACGGTGAGCGGTTCCACAATTTCCACACTAAACTTCACCTCCTATCAGAGCTGAGTCAATAACCACAAACTACTCAAATGGTTCATCAGTAATATCCCTCGTTACATTAGTACTATAAATCGAACGAATATCCATCACCCATCTCGATTACTGCACACTATATGAAACGTAAGTAGGTGGCGTTTTTAGCATTGATAAAATGGTTTCAGAATCGGTTACAAAATGTTGTGAGAGAACTATTTGCGTTCTTTCCACTGCAGCTTTGCTTTTGAGTAGAGATAAACCGAAGGGGCTGGTTCAAGTACGGTTCTACCAAGGGAGTAGCTGTCTGAATGAAGTACATAAATACCGCTTATGGGGATGAGGTTAAGTGACTAAAGTCAATATTGATTCCCCGTGTATCAAGTACTCGATTTATTGACCGTACAGTAAGATATTGTCATGACAACTTCATATCGTAGTTGGGAGACTCACTGTGTAATTTGTTCCAATGATCAAACCAGAGCGCGCGTACCATCCACCGGCCAATTCTCCAACGCCTGACCATGGACAGCGAAATACAGTGTCGGGCTAAACCATTTGAAGCAATATTCGATCTGCCGAATTGCTTCAGAATGTTTGCAGTAACTTCGTTGTGAGTAAAAACTGGCGGTGACCTCATTGTGAATGTGTTTACCGTCAGCGAGGGCTTTTGTGAACCTCTCTATTATATGGCACTCACAGAACTCACAAGAATGAAAGGCCCTTTTGCCCTGTACTTCCCACGGCATGCTCAAAGTTCCACTCACTGGAGTTATTAGAGCCTGTCAGACGCTGTCACTGTATAAAGCACCTGGGAAACGAAGAAGACAACCAATAAAACTAACACTGAAGATTCTTAGATGTTAGCGAATATACACTCATTTTGCAAACTAATTTGGTTTTTCGAGAGACTCACCCGGAACCCGGCTGAATCTCTCGTTTGTGATGTTTCCAGGCAACTGAATGTGCTGCGCCAGGCCGCCTCATGTTTCAGTCGCTACGAACAGGATTTTTGTTATCTTTGTAATGTACTACCCACAAGGTTGCTGAAAACATCACAAACGAAAGATTCAGCTGGGTGCCAAGTGAGTCTCTCGAAAAAACAAATTAACTTGCAAATGAGTGTATATTCGATAATTTCGTGCAATTCGGTTTCAAGTAGAACATAAGGTTGACGGAAACCTGGGGACTGCGCCTAGCTGATGAGCCCAAAGTGGAAGGGCGAAACCGGTCGTCGGCTATCGACGAATTTTCAGCAACCTTATGAGTAGTGCATTACAAAGATATTCTAAGATGTTCTCTGAATTTTTTCTGCCATATCCCGGTCATTCTTATCTTCCGTTTCACGCTGGCTGTACCGAAGCACCAGGTTGGCTTATCTGCTTCGATACTGCTGTAGTTGAGAGTTCGCCGAAGCATAGTCCTTGAGAAGAGTTATGACCGATTTCAGATTCACTGCACGGACTCTCCGGATTCGAGGACACCTCTGAAGTCCCCATTATAAAAATTGCGTATGAACAGAATACGAGTAAGATGCCAAGAAAACGAGATGTTCATAATTACTCCAAGCACTACAACAGCTGAGAAACAAACTGGTTATTCAGATATTGCGGCTAATATCTGCTCCATACTACTGATGCCAGCTGCCAGTAGTATCTCAATACTGATGGAGAGAAGGGGAACTGTCAACCCGAAATTTATTGTCCTAAATTCTTCTTATACCTAGCCACTCTACGGGACCAATCTCAGTGACAAGTGGGCTTCGATATTCTGGGATGAAACCCATGAAATTTGAATATGTTGCCATATGTTTTAAATTTGAATTTTATGGTGAGTCCAAAAAGTAGTTCGTGCATGCAGCCGATCAACATGTGGGAGAAGTTGGAATAAAGGGACGGATACAAGCCCTGTCTGTCAGACAATCCACCGATATGGGGTACGTCGGGTGAGAGATGGTCTGCATCTTTCCAACAACCGCGTCTTACGTTTCTCGTTACTATGATATTCCAAATTTCAACCAAAGAAAATTGAACATTTTGATTTCATCTTGGTTCTTGACTAAAGACAAACGACAGTGTTTGATTGGCAAATCATAGGCATCGCCCGAATAACTAGTGGCAATAATTCAAACAGGGCTGTAATTCATTATTGTTAGGCCGTGTGAAAATACATTGGCAACTTCGTTCGAAAAAAATTGGAACGTGTGTGAAAGTTTGGAAGATGAAATATTGGAAGAGGAAGATTGTGGAAGGATTTTCAAACTTAACCCCGTTCAGGGGATGTTGAATTGGAATCAATATAACTAAATATCTCGTGGAAATAGCAAGCAATCAAAGAAAACCACGGCTGATGTGAGGTTTCCGGTTCATTGAGAAAAAAACGTTTTGAAAAGAAAACAGGATAATGTCGTCACAACCTATGAGGCAGACCAAAAAGGCCCAAAGACAAGTGATGCAGTCTTGTCTGCTGGCTCGAATGACTGGAACAGAAACCTGCGGCCAAAAGCACTGGAAGTTATTTGCAGAGTAATGGGAATCACAAAGGATAACAGGAACAAGGGTTGACTGGTATCTATCGCTGTGTAGTCAGCCTATACGAGGCTGTTCAGTTGGGCAAGATGGGGTTGTTGCAATCCACTAGTTGAAACTGAGATCATTTAGTGTCGACATTGACTGGCGTATATGAGCACTGACAACACAGCGGACCGATTGACACGGGCAGGTTGTGCTTGAATTGCAGGACCTCTGTCCAAACCTAACACACTACTCACAGTTTTGCTGAAGGCTGTTCGATGTTATGAGTAGTATGTCACATCCATACAACAACCCAGTGTCACAAGGTTGCTGAAAACTCTTCGACCTTGTGAGTAGTTTCCTTCATGAAAAAATACTGCGATATCTCGAATATCGTGCCAACTGAAACATGAGGTGGCCTGTTGTAGAATATCATAGGCGAGAGATTCAGTTGAGTCTCTCGTGAAAACCAAATTGATTTGCAAATGAGTGTAATTCTCGAACAACGCATTGTGGTATATCAACTATCGTACCAACTGAAACATGAGACGGCCTGATGCATCACAGTCATTTGAAGCCGAACACCATAAACGAGAAATTCAGCTGCATTCAGTTGAGTCCCCCGTCAAACCAAAATTCTTATGCTATTGACAGCATTTATCCAATTCGTAGGTTATTTATTGCAATCTTAGGTAATACGGGGTCCTGACCACCGCGTCCCCGAATGAGTTACGTTCAATCCTTGAATGGATCTGCAACGGACGGCTGCTTTCTTCAAACTAACACCATTTCTAATCCGAAGTTGTCGGAGATGATCAACTGGGATGCGGAAACAAGTAACTCGGACAAGTAAGTCACCTCATGAGTTACTGTGCAATGGGTCATCAAAAGATTCGTTTTCCCAAAATGTCCTCGTTCGACATGCCTCAAATGTTCACTAAATACGATAACTGCTGGCAGTGTATCGGGGGCAGCTAGTCCTCTTTTCAGACGTTGCGAAATCGGGACTCTACAAAAAGTGCAAGTGTCAGACTGGCGACAAAACAACAACAATGTTTGTGCTAGCAGGCGACTTTTTGAGCAATACTTTTTGAAAGCAACAAATTCACGTAGCACAGAACGAATAAGCCCATAAGTTCGAATTGGATTGATTGTACAATGGGACTGCGCGGAAAAATGCAGCGATCTCTCACGAATCACCTGCTCTTCAGTGGTTTGATGAGCTTGATGAGCCCCAAGAAGGGCGAAACCGGCCGTGGGCTGTCGACGAATTTTCAGCAAGTCCTTTTAGCCTCGTCCAAACACACTTGAAGGAACTTATTCAAAGCGCCTTGCTGAATTTGAGTGCAAAATATGGTCGGCCTCTCTCCAGCTCAACGTCTGAGCATTCATCTCACCGTCTTCATGCGAAAACCCAATAGTTGAGGTGACAAATGAAACATCGTGGGCGATTTCGGCGATCGACAGCCAAGTTGGCCAGATGGATTCACCGTCAAACACTTCGGTCGAGTGCTTTCTCTGGTTATCGTTAACATCCACCGATTGATCCATGAGGCCGAACGAATCAGATGTTGATCACTCTGTTTTATCGCTTGCTCAGCGTCTCCGTGAACACATCACCACTGCAGTTCGGCATTTCGCCTGACGCAATTGGCCTGCCACAATTTATGTACCGGTGCTCCCAGGAGCACGGGTTCAGTGATCGGCATCATCGTGACACCACCCATAAGTTCTCATACACACAACATACAAAAAATAGTGGAATGTGGCACGCCCACACAAACAGTTATGTTTCGGGTCCCACCAGTAAGTTTCCTCACTGGATCGACATTTGATCGTACCAAGTGTCTTTCCGTTATTCAGCAGTCACCTATCAAAGGATTGATTCTTCGCCCCCTTCGGGTGCCTCTTCAGCACTGCTGCTCACTTTACCACTCTACCCAGTAGAGAGCGATCATCTCACACTCTGTTTCCGCGTGACAAGATCAAAACACTGCTGATACGTGGTTGCGATCATAACTAGGCGTCCTACTCTTCAACGTCTCTAGACGGCCTTAATTGTGCCTCAGCTAATATGGGAAAGTGGCAAGCGGTTTGCCCAATCGAGGGCTTGCTCACCTGGGACCATGGTGTTTTCGCCTCTTTGAACCTTCTCACCTACATTACTACCCTATCTAAAACCCACTTAAATCGACATCCCATGAACTCCTCAAATGCTAGTCTTGTGTTTTACATGAATCTCATTTATTGACCGATGAGAGCAACACTATCTTTATCTTCGCCCGTAAATTTTCCACATGGGTCCACGTGTGGAGCTCTCTATCATCTATGCCGAACCTCCAGTTCCCTTTGTTTAAATTCTTGAAGTAACTTAGTTGAATTTAAGATTCTTTGAGGGTACCATAGGCATTACTTTCGTAATTTGAACCCCGGTCTTCCGTATTTTGAAACTTTCTCCATATCCCTACTAACCTACCCAGATAAAATCTACAGGTATACGTTTCCTGACTGTTTGAATGATTGATTGATTGATTCATTGGCTGATTGAAGTTATTTTTGTTTTGTTCATCTCAGATGCTCTTAATATGGTCAGCCGCCGAACAGTGGTGCTCTTCGGTGGTCAGCAAACAGCAAAAATCGAAACTTTCCATTTCTTGTAGGAAGCTCATGAATTTGTGGAGTTTTCATTCTCATCATTTCTGTCCTGGTTGTGAGGGGAATAAGTGGACTCAAATTTTGCTCTTATCAGAGTTCATCAGCGGAGCATATCTTTAGCCGTGTCGAGCTTCGAACCCTGGACTTCCGACATGCTAGGCATGCGTATTACGCCAGCACATGTCGGACAAAACTGATTCATCAGCTTGGAGCGGATGAACATATTTATCCTTGAGAGATCGTTCAGCTGTAGCACTCTTTCGGAGCCTAATTGCCACGCCACACGAAGGAGGCACGGGAGCACGAATACTGCCAGGTTGCCCAAGCCTATTTCTTCTTGAGGGATATGTTTAGTTTGTCCAGTGGCTCAGACAACTACCCAGTAACTGACCTGGTTATGTTGACCAACAGACCCATTTGTCAGGATGTCTCAACCAGGTAGCGACATGGGTGCTTAGAATCCGCTCGACAGTTTATGGATTCACTCACCATCTCCAAAATAATTCTGACCAGACTGTCAGACATTCTTGCTAATTAGCAACCTCATGGTTTCAGCCCAAATATCTCGGAAAAGCAAGAGAGACAACAAAGAGTCATTTATCACTCCCTACCACTGGTAAGTCTGTCGGTTAAGTCGTTAAGCGCTCCAGTAGGGGACCATAAGACTGGCTTTCCATCCAGCAGATCTCCTCTGGTTAGCTAGAACAGCATGATCCCTGATACTTGTAAAGAGGGGTTAGTCCGTCCTGGAATCCAATACGCCCTTCTTGAGACCCCTCGGCTAGATACTTCAAGATCGGTAACCTCATTTTAGTAAACAAGAATGGGTATTAGTGGCTATCAAGGGAAGTGGATCCTTTTCGGATGGGGTCGCAGAAGCATGTTTGGTAGCTCCCAATAAAGGGCCCAGTTGCTTTTGTGAATTTGAACAAGGTAATGAACTGACAGCTGTTGGTCTACTTGGAGCTGTCACAATTGTGAAGCGAGACCTGCTCAAAGTTCAGACACACCTAATGTGATGGTGATTGCGATTTTAGTTGAGTCTCGTTTGGGATCATCTCACGGGTTCTGACCATCAAAATGCGCAAAAGCAAATCAACTTCAAAAGAGGGAAACTTATTTTTTTCCAGCATTGGCATTAAAAAGTCCTCGTGATTGAAAAACGTCCCAATACGACATGTATCATGCCCACCTTAGGCGACACACTGCCAGGATGTTTACTGAGCTTGGTGCGCAGTCCAACCGGTCTCAGCATTATTGATTCGGAACTAGCATTGACCAATCAAAACTCTATTCATCCGGATCAATAACAGCCGCTTGGCATTCAGTCCACTTAGTGGTACAACCCTTAAGTACACCATAAATTTTGGCGTACGTTGCCACAACGCCATTCTATCACCTCAAGCGGATGTCCATTGGTTAAAGCACATGGGCACGCCCAGCTGAAATTTCGACCGTTCTTCTCACGTAACCATGAAAGTGGGAAACACCCGCTATCCATCAATAAATCATTCATGTATAGAATTTACTGATCGACTGGCTGGCTGGTTGGCTGACTTCTTACAGGAGTTATCTAGTCTAGTGAGCTAGACAAAAACGCACATGCCAATGCTACACCAAGGGCGGAAAAACGTGCGCAAAGCTTGTCCAGAAAAAAGGGCATCCAAACGAATGTCTGACGGTAGGAAACGGGGCCGTTTCACCTCATTTTGAATGCCCAGATGTGTTCGGAGGAAAAACTCTTCAGGAGCAGTTACCATCATTGGAATTCTAACGAGAAAAAACGGATCGATTTTGTGATTCGGATAAAAAAAGTAGCAGTAAACATAAAAAATCTACGATAATGCCATCTTTGCTAGGCCATTCGTCAATGCTTTAAATGTTAACATGATCTTACCGTGTGCCTAACGGCCTTTCAGTTGTCGAATAGATGCACACAACTCATGATATGATTTGATATTAATCAGGATTTTTTGACCTAGTCTGGTAACGTCATTGGACGTCTGAGATACTCATATTGGGTCAAAAGTAGTATCGTTCGAATGCACCACTTTGGCAGAGTCAGGAGATTATACATATCCCCATTACATTAGCTGGTATTTCGTGAGAGATGTACCAAATGTACCAATTCCTGTGAAGTGAGGGTAGCTGTCGAAATCTGTCCAGTTTGGGTTCAAGTAGAACATAAGGGGTCTGTGCCTACCAGATGAGCCAGCGGAAGGACGAAACCGGTTTTGGGTTGTCGAAGAGTCTTCAGCAACCTTATGACTAACGTATTACTTTTATTGGTTTACGGTTTATCGTGTTATGTATTGCGTCTTGTGCGTCAACTGCGATCCATACTGCTTTATGGATCCGAGACGTGACCTCTACGCGCAGAGGACATGCGGAAGATACCAGAGTTTGATCAACGGTGTCTCTGCAGCATTGGTCAGGTGGTCTGGTGGAAATATCGGATTAGTAATGCTGGGCTGCGCCAGATGGTCTTAGGAAGAATGAACTCTCCCGCGATAGATGAACCACTGGTTGGGACGTGCACCCCACATACCATAAGATCGTCTCCCTCAAAGAGCCCTGTACTGAGTGGAAACGACAGAGCGGTGGACGGTGTATGACCTGGCAACCAAATACGAAAACACTAACCAGTAAACTTGGCCGGGTGGGCAACTGCCGCCCCCCTGGATGGGGGCCCCGGAACTCAAAGCATCAGTGGTTAGTGACACTGGCGGAAACGGCCCAATCATGCAGTCAGGGGGGTGAGATGGCTCAGTGGTTAAAGCGCAAATTTACTGACCGGTAGGTCCGTGGTTCGAACCTGACCTCTGCCTCTCGACTTCTCCTGTCTAGGCTTGGGCAACCTGGTGGCATCCCAGCCCTTGTGCTCCCTTGGGGTGGCATGGTAGCTAGGCACCGAAAGGATGTTACAGCTGAACGGTTATGTTGGATTTTATTAAACTATATTGGATTTCCTGCTTAAAATTTGATCTGTGAATCCGTTATTATTAACATACACAGATAGACAGATAGATAGATACATAGTTTAACTGGTTGCCTGATCTGTTGATGGATTGATAGATAGAATGCTCCATTGACTGACTGATTGACTGACGGACTGGTTGATCGATCGGTCGATTGATTGATTGATTGACTGAATGAATGATTGATTGTTGATTGATTGATTGATTGATTGATTGATATCAACTAACATCCGTCGTATTAAAGAGGTAGTGACGTTTCAGAGAGACGATGCCTACCATCAGTAAATTTCTTGGAAGAAGCAGTTACTGCACGATCAGTCGACAGATTCACGAAGTACTGTACACACACAGCATGAAGATTGGTAGAGTTGTCTTGGAGGGCCACCTCCCCAGCCTTACGAGTATTGCTTCTACAAGAAACATGCTGGGATATCTCGAATATCTCACCGCTCGAAACATGAAACGGCTTTCGAGGAACACAGTCCGTCGAATCGTAACACCATAAATGAGTGAATCAGCTGGAATTCAATCAAGCCTCCCGTGGTAACCAAATGAGTGTGCTTTTAGAATTTTTCGCACAGAATCAATGTTTATCACGATATCTCCCGGATCTTTTACACAGCTCTCGGCAAGGCACCAAATGGTATCTGCTGAAAAAAAATCCCCCAAGAACAGTGAAATCACAGTTTTGGTAAAATATCAAGTAAATTCACAAGAGACTACCTAGGTAAAAACAAAATTGGCCGTTTCGTGAGTCAGTCACAGGCTATATCATACAAGGAATGTGTCTTTCAGAAAATGGTCTCGCCCTTTGATAGACCGAAAAAGACATTCTAAAGACAAATGACAGCACTCAGGGAAGTTGGATGTATTCCCACACCCGGAGCAGTTAAACAGAACTCAACAAATTCGATGGCATGTGAGAATCCGAGAAAATGCCCAGTAGGAGTCAGGTTACTCATTGACTGCTGGAGCCAACCATACCCTAGCGAATCGCGAGGTTCACCACCAAACCGTGAGTGATCTGCAGCTACGGACGTTGGTCCTGCTTTCAAAATGATGAACCTTAAAACGCTGCTCCATTCAGGAAGCAATTATTCTAAAGATGCACTGGCCTTCAACCGAATAAAGAAAGTCTTGTTGTACGTCCTCAGCTCTTCTCAATTTATTGGGAGAAGTAATCAGTATGTTGTTGTCTAAAAACGCTCGAAATGAATTGTCCAGACACGTTTTTCTCAACCCAAAGTGAATGCTGAGGCATTTTGTGTGCCTTGTTTTCCATCTGGATTCCGCTGGGGCTAGCAACACTCACAAGAGAGTGAATCTCATCCTCCTCCTGCAAACGTTCACTGTCCTCCCTTCATCGTAGCACATCTGATCAACCCAGTTAGTTGTCAGTTCAACAGTCGTCCGCTCAGTGCTTCAACCGTCGTCCATGCGCGGGCATTCCACATACCTTTTACTCACTCATATGAACAAGTGATGCGAATCCCCTGGCTGAAAGACTAGAGAAGTTGCTTAAGTGCTATTTTATTACACTGCTGCTCGTGGCCGAACGGTTTGGTCTGCAATGGCAGTATCGTCCTGCAGGTGAAGCCGGTCTATGCTGAAAAGCCGAGAAGCAATGTGCAGCTTTTTCATCCTTATTGGGGTTCATAGGAGTACGTATCTCACCTATGACCACGGCAGTGAAGCATCAGTGCCAACACTGATGTTGCTGTCTTTGATGATGATGACGATGATGATGAGGATGATGATAATGATGATGATGGTGATGATGTTGTTGTTGTTGTTGATGATGATGATGATGATGATGATGATGATGATGATGATGATGATGATGATGATGACGTGACCACTTGCTGTGGATCCCGTGCTTGAAGGATCGAGGGGGCACTACATCCTGTCTAACTGCCTGCTAGTCGCCCTGCTGGGTAGCCTTACGTGACCGAACCGTTGAGTGCTCAAACTCCTAGCCGGAAGTTCGCGATTCGAGACCTTTGTCCATCAACAGTATATCACCATAAACGCTGATCAGTTGCCGAGTCAAAACCATAGCAATACTGTAAGGAGGTATTGTCCTGCAGGTGAAGCCGGTCTATGCTGAAAAGGCGAGAAGCAATGTGCGAATGTTTCATTCCTATTGGGAATCATCCAAAGTGAACCCCCAGTAGAGAATCTTGAGTCTGCCACCTTCGGGCTTCACCATTTTGCCACGAGCGTCTGACCACCAGTGTGACTAACTCTCAATCAGACAGGATAGCGAAAACGGCTGCTACAAGATGCTGTTCATTGTTGTCTCTCCGTGTTGATTCTGTTGACGCGTAGAGGACTTCTATGGAGGTCTTACCACATCACCAAACTCGTTGAAACGTTGGCTGTAAGAGTTTAGTTGTGGAAACTCCAACAGATTTCAAAACACCTTCTAGTAATCATTACCTCAGAGGACTCAAAACTTTGAGGTTTTAGGTGACCAAAATGAACTGCACTCAAAAACTTTTGAGTCGACAATTTCCGTGTCCCACAATACAAATCAAAATAATGTCCCTTTGGTGCGGATCAATCGAACAACAAGGACTGGAAAGCGTCCCTCACACCTAAACAACCATTCCATTGAGGAGTGGCTACTATTCGTTGGAAAAAAAACACGCTTGAGCTTGCTTGACAGTCGTTTCCGTTTTTTGGCTTGACGTGCATGTATCGGTCTACACAGCTCCTCAAACTAGTCGAGCAACCACTCTATTTTCCGTCCACCGGGTAGCTACACAGTGACCGGGCCGTGAGCGTGTGAACCTGCCACTGACTTCCGGTCACATCATTGTTCGAGCAGCCGGTAGTCCTGCGCCGGTTGTCGGTATGATAAAATTTTTCTGCCTCGTTCCTGGACTCGAGGGTTGCGAAAACTACTCCCTGGTTGCCGACCTATCGTATGGTAAGATTTCTCTGCCTCGTTGCTGGACTCGAGGGTTGCGAAAACTACTCCCCTGGATTTACCTTGTCGCTCAGCTGTGCGTTGGAAGAATCTTTTCATCCCTTGAAACCATTGTGACCGTTTCCGAGAGTCGAACACAAAGCTGGTGACTGAAGAAGTTGCATGTGGTTTAGAACGGGTTTAGGGAGGTTCTGGGGAGTTGATCCCGGTCTGACCAGTATTGCTGGAAAGCCGTTGCAGATACCATGAAACTTGGCTTTGTATTTTCGGGATATTAATGGCTCATCACCACTGGGATGATCTTGTGTGATTTCATATCGTAAACGAGAGATTCAGTAGAGCCTCTCGTGAAAACCAAATTGATTTGCAAATGAGTGTATTTCCCGAAAACAGTCCAATTCGGGTTCAATAAGAGCATAAGGTTGACGGAAACTCGGGGACTGCGCTTACCTGATGAGCCGCAAGAAGGTCGAAACCGGTCGTGAGCTGTCGCAGAGTTTTCAGCAACCTTGTGAATAGTTTCCTTTGTGTGGTTTCCCTTTGCAATTTTACCCTAGAACAAATGACTGCTCGTCAGTTCATTGATTTGGCTGTCAAAATACGATTATGAAGCCAGCGAGTTTGGATGTGCTTCAAGAGACGGAACCCAGAGTTCCCTCAACTAGACAGTTAAGGTTATTTTTGGGGGTTAATTGCAAGACCAGATGCATACTATTTATGGGACAACTCAGTAACGGAATAAAAGACCGGCTAGAGCATATTTCACTATATATCATACCAACGAATCTAAATCTTTGTGAGCATGTGTTAGTTACTAATTACCTTGTTTGTGGGACCCGGCACATACCGATGAAACGGTTCTGAAGTGAAGAAAACTTGAGACAACCCCTTCGAGAAATTCACGCATTTCCCCAAGATTTTGTTGACAGCGGCAGAACAGATAACGGGTGAGAAGTCACCTAGTTGTTTTTGTTTGTCAATAGTCCCCCGCGAATTGGGCGTGGTGCAAATCGTGGACAGTCTATGCCGTCAGGCATTCGATATCGGACATGATGAATTTGCCGGCGGCTGTCACGTGACCGTTATTGATTCATTGAGATATCACGGTCTATTGTCTGGTTGATGAATAAGAAGTGAATGAGTCACTAGTTTTGTTGTCTGAAGAGGTGTGAAGAGGTCCATCAGTGAAATTCCTCTCTTTTGGTAGCCTACATCGATTTTTGGACATAAGCAGCTGAAACGTTGGGTTTTTGAAAGGATAATCGAATGATCTGAATTGAATGCGTTACCCCAAGGTTTAAATACTCCACACCTATGGTTTTCAGACGTAACAGTGTCGCACCGCCAAGAATGGACATATAACATACCTTGATGAGTGTCCGTCCAAATGATGCGCCCAATTATCTGTCGTCATCTTTGAGGTTTTGTCAGTCTCATGCACGACCCTTAGTAGTTGTTTTAGCGACTTTTAGAGATCAGCTGAGGAAAACATTGATTTGTCTTTTCAAAGTCACTACAACTTCAGGCCAACCGATAAATTTCTTAGCAACTGAGAGGGAATGCGGAAAGTTATTGAAGTCTGAAAACTATTTGGTAGCTGAAAATAGTGTCCGGTTATAAGCTCACTTGTCAAACTTCAAATTCATACCATTCTCGTGAAGGAAACTACTCACAAGGTTGCTGAAAACTCTGCGACAGCCCACGACCGGTTTCGCCCTTCTTGGGGCTCATCAGGTAAGCGCAGTCCCCGAGTTTCCGTCAACATTATGTTCTACATTATGTTCATACCATTCTATTTTATCTCTGTTTTCAAGGTCCATAAAATGTGTGGAATTTTTTCATGTGGAACTCCGAGCGGCCATAAAGTTTTTAGCAGTATGGGATGAGTGGGCAAAAGAAACCCAGGAAAGCGTGATGTACTGGCTAAGTAACAAGTTTGCATCATGCTCAACTCCTATGAGTTGGTGTGTCGGACTTCAGCTGAAAGAATTCCAGGCGCTGTCGACACAACCTCAGCCCCGGAAATGGTTGAACAAGTCATTGACATGATCCCGTAGACCGTCAAATTTAAGCAAAAAATACTGCACGAGATCTTCAGCCATTCAGTAAACGCGTTGCTTTCATAATCAATGAGCATCTGGGTACATAAAAGCTGCCAGCCAGGTTGATACCTACAAGCTTGAATGGTAACGAGAAACAACATCAAGTGAACGCTCTCAAGTCGCTTTTGCGGCAATTCCAGTGGGACGTTGTCAACTTTTCGAAATGATCTTGTGATACCGATGAAACGTGGTCGCATTCATGAGGCTAGACAACAAGTTACATAAAGGTCTTCAAGATCAAGGAGGTTTGAGGCCAAAAGACCAGCAGGAAAGGTCTTGATTGCATGTTTTGCGACCAGGAGGGCTTTGTAACGAGTGATATCTTCATTAGAGTGAAACTGGCAATGCAACTTGTTCTGTCGAGTTGAGGAAGAGAAAAACGAACGAGAATGTTACAAAACGGTGTTCTTTTTCCTAAAAACCATGAAAAACCCACAAATCCCATGACTGTTCTGACAAAGTTTGGATCTGATTGTTCCATCTCGCTACTTTTCGTTTTTTTTTCGATTGATGCCAAATTGATTTCGGCAACTCAGTAGTTTTTCAGCGACCGTACATCTGAATTGCTTTCAATAAGTCACAGAAACTGCGAGCAAGATGTGCCAAACTCCACCTAGTATAGGGAAATAACGGTTCTGCGTCAGTTTCTTGTAGGTCATATCCATAACCCTTCAGCATTCCCTCGTAGGATATTCAGTCGAACGTGTCTCCTGGGACGCAGCTAGGCAACTGGATACCCAGGTATCCCAGCCTGTGTTTGATATTGTTGAAGGATTATTAGCCCATAAATAACAAACGCCTCTTGACTCCGCACAGACATAACATGCTACTCACAAGGTTGCTGAAAACTATTCAACAGCTCACGACAGGTTTCGCCCTTCTTGGGGCTCATCAGGTAGTCCCACAAATTCAGTGTGGTCCCCATTGAAAAACAAATTGATATGAAATGAGTGTATTTCAGCGACATCTTGACCTCGTGCTTAATCGTACTAACCGGATCGGTTGTAGGGCTAGTATGCAGCAAATGTTCAGATATATAAAAATATACTTCTGACTGCGAAGTAATGCCTTCACCGAAGTGTGTTTACACGTCACCTAGGAAAAGCACTGAACCGGAAGTACCGGTGAAAGGAAGAAAACAGTTCACCGCGGAGTAATTTATTGGGAAACACCAACTAAACAATTACAGACTGTGGGACAGGAGGGTGAAACTCTCATTTGCACCTTGTCTTTTTAAAAACCGAATATCCGTCTCATTCTTGAACCCGTTTCCTTACACTTGCCTGGATATTTATCGGCTGTCACGCAATTGTAAAGGAATGCTACAAAGCAGTTTCACAAATTCCGTAATAAACCCCATTTTCCATTAGATCAAGGCGGAGTTACGATAAAACAACATACTACTCGCATCCCTCATCAGTAGTACCCACTGTTGCACGCGTAAACCGTATATTCTAGCACCCCATCTAGACGTTGTCTAATCAATAAATCAATAAGTCAGTACAACTGTAGATGCGCGGATAAGCTGGTAGTGAATATTAATCAGACTACCAGAAAACAAACTAAGCTGTTGGGTTCCGAAATGTTCGTTCTTTGGTATTCTTTGGTCTGAGATAGTTCAACTGATGCATAATATCACAGGCCATCAAATTTGAGTTCTGAGAACTTACCGACACCGTCCGACACATTCAGTAGTACCTATGAGAGTTCCAGGTATCTCAGTGGTCAGGGAACGAACTTACTGATCAGAAGGTGCATGATTCGAACCAAACTTGTGCTCCTGTCTAGGTTTGGACAACCTCAGTCCTCGTGCCTCCTTCGGGTAACATGGCAGCTAGACACTGAAGGGGTGTTAGAGTCGAACGAATACCATTATCACTATCCTCATTTGTATTATCACAAATGAAGTAAATATACGCCAAAACCTTGAGTATCGATCCAGCCGAACCATATGAGAGCCGCATTTTTAATCAAGGAACATCAGTAGCGTCAGGGTCACCACTGGGCTCATCTAGGTCTCTCCATCATAGAAAATGAGTATGCAAATCAGTGAGCGTTACACGTGCGGTGTTAATGGCAAGTTCGTTCCATTCGCCAGGTACTGGCCTCGCAAGTGGCTCACATATATTTGTCGTGTTGAAGCTTGCTTGGTAATGAGAAATCCAGTGGGGTCAGTTGTGTTGTTTTTTATTCAGTGGCTAACAAAATGAGGTTTGTGCTCAGGAGAACACACGTTACCACGTGTTTTGCTCCGGGCTAGCAAACGTGGCAGGTACGTGCAGAAAACTGGAGAGTTTGTTGTTTTTTACCGTATTTTACGAAAACCGTAAACTCTCAGTAGTGTCGTCAAAGTAGCACTGGTGGGGGAGTCTCGCTGTCTCGGAGTCTCGCTCCAAACACGGCCCACTGCACCAAAGTTCACATGCATGCTGCCAATGCCGCATCCAGGCCTGACAGTTTCGGACAAAACAACTTATTGGCCAAAACAATGTGCCTTTAACTGACTTATAACTGGTAGGAGTGAGCGAAACCATGGTCCGTTCACCATTCTACGGGGATTATCAACCTGCCATCGAAAATGGAATCAATATGTCACCCGGCCAATTCGACGTTATCGCCTCGACGGGCGAATAAATCTAGGCGCGGGTGTCGTAGCATCTGTATGCGTGAATCGAGAAATGTGTGTACATCTGTTTGAGTGTGTGCATATGTCTCGTGTCTGTTGCGAGCTGCGGACAATAGCCTTTCCTCTGTCAACTCGATTATCGATTACTTGTTGGCTGGTTAGAATGGACGGACGACCGCCCCGAGAAAACAAGACATACATTCGGTTACTAGACCACTGTACTAAACATCACCAAGTTTGTGCATTGGTTTGTTTGTAGGCTAGGCGAATAATCCTCCACCAAACGAGACAGGGAAATTTTGGCAGCAGACTCGGTCACAAAGTGTATCAAGGTTCAGCCAGCCCGGGTGCTACAGTCGAATTCCAGCAATATGGTTTTTTTTCCTGATAAGGGCGCTGATAAAGTGTTTTTACTCACTGGACGAGAAATGTTATCCTTCCGATAGATCAACTGCGACCAATTACGGTTGCGCGCTAGTATCAAACGATTACGACCAGTTAGATACAGGATGTAAAAGTGCTCGTAATTAGTGTAATGCACTACTTATAAGGTTGCTGAAAACTCTTAGACAGCCCACGACCGCTTTCGCCCTTCTTGGGGCTCATCAGGTGGGCGCAATGCCCTAGTTTCCGTCAACCTTATGTTCCACTTGAAACCAAATTACACGAAATTAGAGAAATATACTCATTTGCAAACAAATGTGGTTTTGCGAGAGAATCAACTGGAAGGGAACCCAGCTGAATCTCTTGTTTATGATGCATTTAAGCAACCGAATTTGCTGCACCAGGCCGTCTCAAGCTTTAATTGGTACGATAAAAGCGATATTGGAACACCTTCTAGAGACGTGATACGCTACTCTCTCCGACAACCCATGACCAGTTTAATCACAAATGGGAGATTTTGCTGGCTAAAAGGAGACTCAAAGCATGCGCTTACCTGATGAGCCTTAAGAAGGGTGAAACTAGTCGTGGGCCGTCAGAGAGTTTCAAGTAATAGTTTCAAGTAGTCTTATGAGTAGTGGATTACACGAAATTAATGCGTATCTTGACTGGCCATTGCTATACACGACACAGATTTATGGTGCAACGCTTGAGCATATCCCAGATATAGGTAACAGTAGCAAAACTCTAATCCAAACTCAAAACTGGTCGTGAGTGATCCTCATAGCAGGTGCTCATGGCAACCAAGTTTGACAACAGGGACAGACATTCCAGAAAGACTACCAGAATATTTGTGGAGATTTCATCCTGTAAGTGAAGACAGTCTGTGCTGAAAAGGCGGGAAGCTCAAGCCGTGCTTCTCATGAATAGGCATTTCCCTCAAGTCAGTGTTAATCTTCATCGATGGCCCCCTCAGAACAAAATTAGTATCAATTACAATGAATCACCAAACGTCCAGCGTCTCTCCGCGTAGTTATTCTGCGACTACGCGTTGAAAACCTCAGTACCTTGCTCCTGTCGATGCCATCTAGGGTGTATGCTGAAGAACAGGCAACCAGCGCTGCATACCCTTGCTTTGTACTACGTGAACTGGTATTCATTCTTGAGAGTCTAGTGGAATGTGCTATTACTTCGCTAGAATAGTACGAAAACGCTTCTCACAGGAAAGGAGTGCGGTCAGACCCCACTATACCGCCTAGCTAATGGTTCCACGCAATCAAGCAAACATGTCCAGTGACGAGATACCGATCATTCGAGTCAAGATGACTGATCCGAGCACTGTAGTTGATAATGCCCCGTCATTGACGGGTATTATGAGCCTGCTCACTAAGCTGTGAGGCAACACATCGATGTGGTAGCCCGCTGTCATATCTATGCTGAGAAGCGAAGAAGCTCTATATGGATGATTCATCCTTATTGGGAATCATCAGCAGACAATGCCTCCTGAAACTCCAGGAAGTTTCTAACCCACGACCTCCCACCAAGTAAGCTGAACAATTAAAAGCCACTCATCTTCTGACCACGAACCACGCGGCCCCGTCTTCCGCGACTGAAGGGTGAGTAGTGTTTTATCATGTTCAAGTGTGATTTAATCACATCGCTGGCCAAGTGGCTAACTAGCCGAGAGGTCGCTGGAGTCTCATGAGATACGCAAAGAACGTTGGGCCTCAGGGTTGCTGTCAAATATGTTCGCACGATCTCTCCGAAAATCTTCGGAACAAACCAAGGGCAAAGCGCAAAATGTAATGTTTCTGAGTAGATACTGATCCACAGGCTCATCCGCCTGTTTGTAGGTGGTTGCGGGATTAGCGGAATCCACAGTCACACCACTCTCGTTTGGACAGCCATCCTCCTGTCCTAACGTAAATATTCCACACTAAAAGGGTGAAGCACTGCATAATGTGTGTCCGCAGCTTTGTGTTTCATCGTGTCACGTGACCTGCTTGTGCTTCAGACGCAGGCGGACACATTTCCGCTGACTCATCCATTCAAGCGATTAATTGATTGACATGATCCGGACAATAGGTGAGACAATGACAAGCATAAATAAGGACAAGTCTGTTCACGTCCAGTGAATGTTGTGTGGTCACTCCAACACACGTTACTACTGACAAAGACGGAACAGTTCTCGTAACCCTTTGTTAGCATCGATTTAATTGATTTCATTGGTGCGCGCTGACTAGTTTTAATTTATGACAGAAACAGAGCTCTGTGAAAACCAAGTATATCTGTTATTGGAGGAGTTCCGGTAAAAATCTGTTCTTTTTCAGGTGGATACATGGCACTAGAAACAATATATGACGGATTTTCAGAAACCCTATGAGTAGTACATTACAAAGATATACATGAATCGCGATATCTCGATTATCGTAGCGACTGAAACATGAGGCGGCCTGGTGCAGCACATTCCGTTGCCTGAGAGCATCACAAACGAGAGATTCAGCTGGGTTCCAGGTGAGTCTCTCGAAGAATCAAATTAGTTTACAAATGAGTGTATATTCGCGAATATATGAACCAATTCAAAGTTCCTCGCAAGTGATCCTCGGTTGCACAGTTCCCGTCCCGTCCATTGCCCGTTCACAAAATCGCACACCATTCTTCAGACTGCTGCACAAGGTTAAATGCGGACCACGAAGCGTCAGCATAATTATTCTTATCCCACTTTCGAAGCGAAGAATACCGTCTGGTTACTTTCCGTCTACACTTACAGCTTGGAGACTCGACTGGACAAGCAGCCAGTAACAGTTCCAAACGTCGGATTTCATTGTGAAAGATTCCATCGTGTGAGAAATGTTTCCCTTTGGAGTTGTTTCGGGGGGGTGTGATAGAGTGGAAGGTGGATCACAACAGTGTAAACTTGCCAAATCAGAGAGCTCAAGAATCCGTACTGGAGAAGCAAACTTTCGGGAAGACAAAACATGAGATAGGTCAGGAATATCGGTGTTTTTGCCCTCAGATCAAAATAAACCCGAAACAACCAATGTCCAGCTGCATTTGGTTGTGAATTCGGAAGGCACGCGCGTCAGCTACATGTGGCTTTATTACATGGCACTTGGATGGATAAGTTCACATCGAAATGTGTATGATTTGGTATAACAGTTGTTTTTATTGATAATTAATACACACACAGATGGCATTGCTAGTGTACGACACAAACGAATTGTACGCCTATCGTTAATCTAGTGGTCGGCGATCTGAGTTGTATGAATTTCGTAATGGATCTGTTTTTCTACATCTTAGGGACTATGATTTAGAATTGCACGTCGATTGGTATGATGAGTTCAAAACACCCCTTCGGTGGGCTGTGGATTAGAGTTAGACAAAAGACAGGAAAGCGATCGATATTCTGTTTGAACCTGCGATTTCACTGAGTGCTGAAAGGTCTAACAGCATTTTCAGGCTGTACGCGTAGATGAACTTTTCCGTGGCTGATGTCTTCTGCGCGGACTAGAACTGGGCAGCGGATCCGGTGAGCTGGTCTTCGGTGCATTTGGAACTGTCAATTCCTATACGCAGTGAGGTGTCTAGCACTGTCTAATTCGAACATTTTCGGCGAATTTTCTCTCCGCAATTACTTTTATTTCAAGGAAAGACCACCGGAGGGTTTCTAGACTTTAGTACACCAAGGCTGTAGAGCAAAACAAACGAGATTCATGAGTAAGTTCCACTGCTTTGTGTATGGTTGGGTAATGACTGGTTACAGGAAATCTGGCTACCTAACATAGGAACATACCGGTTTTTTAGAGAGCTACAGGCTACTATCGTGGATAAGGATAAAAAACGGGGTGGGGTGTATCTTCCGTCCACTAACCAGGGGATCCACTGAAATTTCACCGTACTACACTTAAATTTGGTGGAAAAAATTCTTGCACAAGCCGGGAGATCCTTGCTTACTTCAAGAACGGAAAGACGGTGGGTTGTTCTACTGTTTTTCAGATACAGATACGGAAGCACTGAACCGAAAGTAGATTGAGGAGTCCGGTAGCAAAATAAAGTGTTTTTTGTCCTGTTTAAATGATTTTCGAGTGTTCAGCCCCAATAAAAACACGAAGAACAAGCTCAACACCCAGAACACTGACGTTGTTAGTGGTTGATGCTTCCGAAGTAATTCCGATGTGACCGTGAAATACGGCTTTGAAACACTTATCTACGGAGTTTGAAGTTTTCGAATACATCATCTCTGACAACGCGCACAGCCTACATCGATCGATATTTAACTCTTCTGCAAGACTGTTTGAACCGAACCAAAAGGGCATACTGCGTACACCGTCAGATGGACACATGAAACACTTTGTGGGCACTTCAAAACCGGCTCTTGAAAAGCTGCTGGAACGGGAGACTATCAGGACAACATTTGTCATGTTCCTTAGAATTTGTTATGGGAATGAATAGCTCAACGGATTGGGCTTGGCAGACGCCACGCTAGCACCACACCCAAGTACTAACAGAAAGAGACAGGCACATCCTAATGTCGCCCGGTTGTATTTTCACATTTTAGGTGAATTAATCTAGTAATCAGTTGGCATTGTTTATTAGGTATTGCGCTACTGAAACACACAGGTTTGCGGACAATCTTTTTCAGTCGCTTCTCATCAGACAAATACGACGATGTGAAGCTATGTTAAAATACTATACAGTGTGGCTATTTTCCTATTGGTATAAAATCGAACAGAATTGATTGGTGCGCCAAGTCAATGCCAGAGCTCTCACGCGTTTCTATTACTGGGAGATAGAGGGGTCACCTAACAAAAACGGCAGTCACTTCAGCTATTTCAAACATTCGTCGGTAAATGATCTTCGATCGATTTTTCGTCACTCGATTGATTGACTCGGCCGAATCGACCGGGTCTGTTTCAATTGGGTAACCGGCGATAGCGCTTGTCACGTGTTTGGCAAACCGATGAAACAAGTGCCTTGTCTTTCGACCCTCAAATAAATGAATATACAACCATGGAGGAATGGTGGATCGGGATTTGTACTAAGCATTTGGAGTGCCCCCTTGGCTATGCTGAACTGAGTAGGTAGGCTGGCAACGGGTCGCATTTTCTGAAACTGTGCTATCTTTAATCGGCAACTGAAAGTATATGGGTGTTTTTGTGACTGTTGGCATCCGAGACACACACCGCACCCATCTCAACCTTTTAGAACAATGTGTGTGCGTGCGTGCGTGCAACCACTGACTATAGATGATATGATGATAAAAAAATCAGACACACGCACTTACACGCCTAACGATTCTAGGCAGATTGGGAATACGCGCGAGTTTGTTCTGTCGATGGATCTTTTCCAGATAGGCTCCGCCACTAATACAAAAAGTGCATGTGTGGAAAGTTAAGCCCGCCACTTTTCGCCAGCTCCAACTTAATGTACGCACACAACCTTGACCTATTTTTGATGAAAACTGTTCCTTATCCGCATCTAAGCTCATTTTGTGCAAACATTTTCTCCGTTCGAACTTAAAACCTTAAATAAACCTTCTGACGATTTCAACTCTCGTTCATGACAAGGAGACAGCAATACGTTTTTTGGAAACCCACGGAGTGATCCATCAGCAATAATGGTCACCAAATGACACTTTCAACTGTTTCTGACAGGCGGAGGTATAATGCCCGACAATGTCGGCAAGAAATCGCTCTTCGAAAGGAAACTTGACTGGAGCGGTCTAGGATGGAGTTTAGGACAGTAATTCTATTTATTTATTGCTGGTCCAAAAGTTTAAAAAAAATCAAATTCTGCTCAGAGGAATTATCTATTAGCTACATGAACGCTGTTGACTGGAAGAACTTTCTTCGCGAAGTTTGCGCTTGGCGGATTTCGCAGAGCCCAACAGTTAAACATGCCGAAGTGTGAATCCAACGACTGGAGGTCACACACAAACCATCGAATCTCTTTGGCACTTCTACAAGATACAGAATAAACGCCAAAGCTGCACGCACCGATCTTTAGTGGACAGCTACTTGTGTGAGTTCGTTTGGAGGCAAAGGTACCGAGAAACAGACCTTTTCATGCGATTATTAATGACATGCCCCAATTTCACCCTCTTCAATAAAAACTAAAAGTATAAATTTCATATCCTCTTTTTTCTAATCTTTTTTGGGTGGCGGGGGTTCTCAGGAAAAGATCCCTGTCCATAACTGTCTGCTGTTGTTGGTTGGTTCACACTCATTATTCACTCACCGACTGTTTCCTGTTTCCACTGATCAGCACGCCTTCGTCGGTTGGCCACCTCCTTGCAGGTGTTTAATCTAAGACATTTTACAGTGGTCTGTACCCATCAACCACTTCGCTGTTCGACCCACTTTGGGTGCAGCATTAGCACTTGACATTTAGATTAGGCAACTGAGTAAATTCAAGGCTACTTGGTAATAGAGAGATGTCAGATGCACTGAGACAGCCATGTTCGCAAGGCATGACCTTGACAAGCAGAATTTTGAATTGATCAATGCGTGCGTCTAATACCTACCTTGAGTGGGATAGAGTGGCAGCCAGTGCAATCTACGGGCAGTTCAACCAATTTAAACTTGGAGGGGCTAACTGCACCGCACTTATTTCGTGTGTTGATGCCCTCTCTGAAATAGTGTTGACTCTCTCCTCTAGTGTCACCCTGTTGGGAAAATTGCCGGGGTGACAAGGAGATCAAAGTCTCTATCTAAATAATATATATTCTCCTGAAAAATTGCAAAGTGCCTGCAGACAAAATGCAACTACTCTACTTGATCAGCACACATGTCAGACTAATTGCCAAACGTCATACTCCATTCTACTCGTTGCACATCTAATCCTGATAGCAATAAAAAGGCTGAACGACAACTGATTACAGATTATGCGAATCCGTTGGGCAATGTAGACCGGAGCTAATTGCTTCACTTGCTAACGGAATGTGAAACCGAACAGCATCTGTTCAGACTGATACAAAACAAAATCACCCCCACTGGACACAATTTATGGGACTAAGGGGCCGAAAATCCACTTCATTGTCCACTGACACTCAGTTGGTTGGAGTCCGGAAGCACAGTTGAATGTACAAGCGGCACTGAACAGACGAATGCATTGGTCTGGGGTGTGTTGTTAATCTCTCAAGATACTTAAGTGTAAAGACGTGTAATTCTCCACAACTGTGAGAACAGATCATGCTCCATTGTCTACTAATACCTGGCAACGGAATTTCTGTTTAAAATCCAACGTAATAAAGTACCTGGAAGTAATCAACTCTAGAACCCCCCTAAAATTGAAGCAATCTTCGCAAGAGATCACCAAACAAGGTGATGTTTGCTAAAAATCTTCTCCAAAAGTTCCTCCGTGTCCTCTTCATCCGTTTCTAATATAAAGACAAGATTCAAATTCAAACTGTTGTTCTAGCTGTAGTATAACCTACTGCCGTATTGTTCGTCCATAAGTGACCCAGTTATTTAATTGTTAATGTTTCGGTGGTAATTCGCCCGCGATATAAGTAGTATATTTCTTTCCGATGGCCTTATACCCGTATATTTCTCGTAAGGTTGTGTGTGTTGTCCTTGATTTACTCTGTCGAGAATCGACACAAAGACACATGGAGCTTTCCCCTCCTTTCTTTGATTTAATTTGACACGACCGTTTTTGGAGAAAACTTCTCGGAGTTGTGATTTCCTGACTGTAACTGGTCTAGCTCGGTGGGATCTCTGACTTAATTCAACTTGGGTTTTTCACTGTAGGCACGAGGCAGTACTGCCTAGTTCCGTTGACATATAAAATAGAATCAACGGATCTGTGAGCAACTGAGCCCGCACATTG